GTCTGGAAAGGTGAGATGATCAAACATTTTGAAGAAGTACTGAACAGTTGCAGGAAATCTTTTGTCGCTGATGGATGTAGGGGCTGAAAATCCATCCTTACTGAAACTTTAGAATTCCATGAACACTTGCACCTTCCATTGTCAGTAGAATATGTTGTCTGATTTGTGGTTCTGGAACAGGTGGAACTTCAGTACCTGCATGACTATGCTGGGATAAGCACAAGTGTTGGGCTAACAGCAAACCCAATCGTCAACTTCTCTGGTGTTATAGGAACTAATGTCCTTGCTATTGGTACTGATGTCTCTTATGACACCAAAAGTGGGGATTTAACTAAGCTCAATGCTGGATTGAGCTTCACAAAAGCTGACTTTATCGCTTCACTGACTGTGTGAGTATCTGTTGCCTCACCTATTGTCAGAAGGGCTGTTGAAAAAACTGCCTGCATTTATTCCTTTCCAACTTCGACAAGTGAGCCTTAGCATGTGGGGCCAAGGAAAGTTTTACATAGCCCAGTTAAATTTAATCTTGAGCTTGTCTTGGTCATAAAAACTAGAAGGATATCTACGCAATTCTTTTATGTTAAAGCCCTATAGCTGTTGAGTGAACTTTGTGGGTCTGCATTCTAGAGTTGTTTGAAAGAAACCTGTTTATTGTTCTTTTTATAGTACATCTTCGTATATATTGAGAATGATTGGGGGTACAGTTTTTGATACAATGGTGTTTACTTGTGCAGGAATGAGAGAGGTGATGCTCTTAATGCTTCTTACTACCATGTGGTCAACCCCTTGACCAACACGGCTGTGGGTGCTGATGTGACTCACAGATTCTCAACCAATGAGAATACCTTCACTCTCGGTACCCAGCACGCCCTGGATCCATTGACCACATTGAAAGCTCGTGTCAACAACTCTGGCAGTGCTAGTGCCCTTATCCAGCATGAGTGGCGTCCCAAATCGCTCTTGACCATCTCTGGGGAGGTAGACACTAGAGCCATTGATAAGAGTGCCAAGGTTGGTTTGAGTTTGGCTCTCAAGCCCTGAGGAATTTTGAGCTTTATTGGCAAGATCTTGAGGTAGGCATTAGGAGCATATGGTTATATGCAATTCGATTTATTTTCCGAGGTTGATTTTCTTTTTGGAAGCAAGTGTTCATGGTGTCTCTCACGGATGAGTGTGTTAGCGGGGTAAAAATAATTTGTAGAGGATTTAGTGATCTTCATGTTACTCAACTTTAGACAAGCTCTGCGAGCCTCGCTGTTAGACTGAGGATTGATACTTGTTGAGATTTGAATTGCAAGATATCTTGCCTCCTGATGCATTTTTGCTTTTTTCTGGTCTGAATAGAGGGTTTCGATTTTCCAAAGGCCAATAGCTGTTACGCACCCTCCTCGGATTGATCGGTGCAATTCTGTTCATGCGTTTGTTTCTTGACACCCTGTGGATATTGGGGTTGTTTATTTTCAAGTTTTTTAAACCTTGAGGTCGGATCCGCCTTACAAGAAAACTCCTGATTATGCCTCGTTTTGGTCTTGCATTTCACTGTTAGACATGGGATGAGATTAGGATTATTATTATTTTTTTTATAGCGATTTGTTTGGTTTGATGCCAAAAAAAAAAAATTCCATTTCCAACAGTAATGTTTTCCCTTTCTAATGGCATTTTTATGTTTTATTCCTTCCATTTCTAATGTTTGGTTTAATCATGTATCGACTTTTTTTTTTTCCAAACTCTATTCTTATTGAAAAGATATGTGCTCATTTTTTTTAAAAAAAGGAAATTAAATATGTTTACGAATTAAAGAAATTTTACGTTGCTTAAATTTTTAAAAATAATCCAAATATGGGAGAAAAGTAAATTTCTGCCCAGAAGTTCCAGCACTGTTGTTTCTTGAGAAGATACTGAGTAAGAGTGGGAAGAAGGGGCAGAATTATCGGAGATTTTGGTCTAATGGAGAGGCTTGCCTGATGAAAAACCTACTTGAGTGTCTCAATTGAATTTTCAAAGACAATTTTCAGATTTTATTATTGCTATATAAATAATATAAAATATAAAAATTAGTTAGGCTATTCTATTATTAGCTGTTACTATGAATAGGATCTCCAAGGGTGTAACGTTGATTCCTTTGTAATTCAGAAAGATATTTCAAATTCTCTCCCTGTTCCGTTCCTTTTTCCTCTACCTATCTCTTGTTCTCATCTTCTACTTCTACCCTATCAGATTAATATAAGTAACTTAAAAAAATAATAAGATACAGTAAATGAAAAAAATATTCATAAAAATACATTATAAAATTTGAAAATTACCAGAAACTGAAGGGCGCTCTCTCTTGGGGACGAGGGTTTCTATTGCCTCGCACAACCTCTGCATTGGCCATCAAATTCTCACCATCAACACAGCCACAGTCATAGCATATCGCAACTCTTTGTGAACATCTCTATCATTCATCTGCCCATCGCTACACTGTTTCTCGCCAAAGATCCTTCTACGTTCAACAAGTTGGTGGCAACAGGTGTGGTGAAGGGATACAGAGTTCGGATGGTTTTTAAGAAATCTTTAGTTTCAATACCAACTCTGCTAATCCTCTCATCTTGAGAAAGAAAGCAGAGTCGTGCGTGTGTTCTTCAGTTTTCTGGCGCTGCAGATTCACGTTCCTCCATAGCTGCACTCTATTTCACTTCTCTTGATGTCCATATATCAAAACTTTCCATAGCTCGAGTTCTTATCTCCAAAGTTGTCTCCTATTAATTTTCTCGGGGATTTGTTGAATATTGCAATTTTCATCCACTCTGGTTGCGCCCTTCTGCTTAGATTTTGATACATTCTTTTTTGTTTTTTTTGTTTTTGATAAAATAGATTTTGATACATTCTGTTTACATGGTTATCTCCATTTACAAATGTTTCTCTGCGGATTACTGTCAATGCTTATTCATTGTTCGCCTTGCTCACTATATTAATGTCACTGTAACTACTGAGGGTTCTGTAGTTAGGAAATGGATTCACACTACCCGCAATCGGCGTCGGCCCTTTCTTGGAGATCTCGTAGGAAGGACCATGAAGGCTCATTTCGCTTTTTTGGCTGGAAAGAATGTTCAGACTTATTTGAGGTTCACAACACATAGGGGCTCCAAAGGGTCCCTTTTTGGTGACAAGAAATCCCCCATTCCTATTACCAGACCTGGATTAAGAAATCAACAAGGACACCGTATGGTACACACCCTACAAAAGTTTCAGCTGGGAACCATGGAGTGAAAAGGAGATGGCTGGACATTATACAGGTTAAGCAGCCATTAATGTTCCTTCAACCTGGCCTGAACGAACTGCACAGGGAGCACTAGTACTGAGCGTTACTTTTTTGGAGCTTTCATTCAGGCCTTACGAGTAAACAAGTACAAGATCGTGCATGCTGATAGGACGGAATACAGGAAAGAGATTCAGGCACTTTCTTCGGGTGGTGCTCCGAAGAAAAAGAAAGAGATAGGACTTGGTTTCAGTGGGTTTTGAGCCCAAAAAGTCCACACTGTTGCTACACGAGGAGCCAACGGGATCACCAAGATTTGGAAGGTTTAATCCACCCATTATTATGTGTTTTATTTTGTTCTACGTTCAGTTTGTAGTTGGCATCGCAATAAGTCCATTCGACACGGATCAAGGTGCTTTGATCATGAATGTCCCTTAGTAACTTGTCCTTTTTGGAGGTCCAAGGGGTTCATTTCTTCCTCCCAGATGTTCTTGGAGTGAAGTCGGGATTCATTCATGATTCATGCGGAGTGCCTCCCACGACGATGATGGACATGACACAATCTACTTATGTTTTATTAATATATGCTTGTGTGTGTCCGACTGTGTGTTTACTTGCTTTGTCTTGCTGCGTGTGTACTTGTCTTGTCTGTACTAAATATTTTAATATAACTGCTCGATCATTTTATCTGAAAACAAACAAGCAAATAAGCATTTTTTTCAGACATACCTTAATCGAAATGCAGTTGTAGTTTTACACAGCACTCCAGACGATAAGAGGACAAATACTGCTGAGAAGGAGCATTTGATGGGTCAAGTCAAAAGGTTTGGTAAGGTAGGTACATCGGCATCCTTTGATTGGAACATCTAGCAAGGAAGTCATAAACATATCGATATATATGTAGCACGAGCGCACCTTGCATATCATGCCTGTTTTGCTTTTCGGAGTCATAGAAGTCAATATTTCATGCCCCCTCTATTCTGATACCTTGGTTTCGGCTTGCAGATATTTACAAGTCTCTTGTTGAAAAGTCTCATAAGAATAGTAAAGTTTATAAATTCAACTGACTATCTTTCTCAATAAACAAGTATTTTGAAATATACTCTTCCTTTAAATTTGTACTTGTAACAATTTCAAGCTCAAATAATCTAATCCATTTGAATCTTCTACATGCATGCAACAAAACAATGAACTTCGATTCCAAAAGATTAGATTGACTTGGAGATGAAGATGCCATTAATTCAGAATTGAATGATTTCGAAAGTTTAGATGAATCCCAAAAGCACCATATAATCACATATAGTGTTCAAACTTGTTACAAACCAATATAAACCATTATTGTCCTCAAGTCTGTTGATACAGGACAAATGGAAGTGTGTATTTGGCCAACCGTTTGGAGAGTTAAACTAACTTGTTTGGGTGACTCAACTTTTGTAAAATGGAAAATTAACTAAAAATATACATTTTACAAATGGAAATAAAAAATGCTTCAGAAAAATGGATTTTGTAAACTAGGTTTTGTTATCTGAGCCAAACAGACTGGAAGTATGTAAAGAACCGACAAAGGGAAAAACAACTTGGTGAAGAATGTTTTATCAAACAGTACAGAAAGCACATACTACTCGAGTTGCAGAAGCCAGGCCCACGGATAGGAAGGCTCAATTGACTGAGCAGTGTGCCAGAAGAATAGCAAAACAGGGCATTGCTATCACCCTTCCCTACAATAGCATAACCATACAGCTACAAGAAGTTTTAAGCCCAATTAAGCACATAAAAGGCACAAATTAGCACTTATCACTCAATATACAAAAAAAGGGTACATATTAGCACTCAAGAGTAGATGTGTACATGTAATGGACAACCTTCTGTAGATCTCTTAAACATAAATACTAATAAATAATTACTTTAGGAAAAAGAAGCATTTCCTTAAACTATTAATTACATATAAAGCATCAATTCACAAGTAATCCACAAATAAACCAGGCACGCAAAATATCTGACCATCCACAATTACAGAAAAGCTCAATTCTGGGAAGCATGGGCCTGAAGGAGACCGTCCCGAATCTGCACAGCAATATCCTTCACTGCACCAGGGCCATGTGGTATGAACACAGATGAGGACTTTGAGGATGCCCCAATCTCCTTCATAGTGTCGAAGTATTGAGTCACAAGCACCATATCCATGACATCTTTAGCTGTAGTACCAGGCACATTTTCTGAGAAAGCTAGCACGCTGTCCCTTAGCCCATCCACAATGGCTTGACGCTGACGAGCAATTCCAAGTCCTGACAGATATTTGGATTCAGCTTCTCCCTCAGCTTTCTTAATCTGCAGTATTTTCTCCGCTTCAGCCTTTTCATTCGCTGCCAATCTCAGCCTAGCAGCTATTAAGGAAATAAAGAAAAAGACTCAAGTTAGGAAAACCATCTAACAACAAAATTGAAATTTACAATATAAATAGGCCTAGTAACTTCTGTGGGCAAAGTAGTGTCTGTATGGATCCACATGTTTACAATAATACATCAATATAAACAACGTTAGAAACAAAACATAATGAAACATGGCATCTGCAAACACTTAATGCAAATTAAAAGTAATCTAACAATATAAGAACCTGCAACATTTAACAAACATCAATACAACTACCAAGTGCAGTCCTTCCTCAGGACCTAGAAATTCTTACCTGCGTTGATCTCATTCATTGCTCGCTTGACATTAACATCAGGCTCTATATCAACAATAAGAGTCTGAACAATCTCATATCCATAAGTAGACATGGCCTACAACACAAAGATCACACTGACTTCTTAACTAGTCCAACTGACAAGTGACAACAACCTTCAATAATCCATACTAAAAGCAATATTTATAGATATAGAGAAAGGAAAGGAAAATAATTTACAGTGAGATAAAAAAACACACCTTTTCAAGCTCATCTTCTACAGCCCTTGCTATTTCATTTTTCTGCTCAAAGACAGAGTCCAACTCCAACTTTGGTACACTTGCTCTTATAACTGGAGAAATGCAAATACTAGCAACTTTTAGGAAATCAACCCAGAAATTACCAATCATGCAATCCAACACCAATACATAGAAAAAGTAGTGTGTTTCACTCATGACAGCCATTGGTGCAGAAAAAGTGGCATGCATGCTTTAAGGGCAAGAATTTAGCAGCAGAAACCCACTTGACGTACCATCAAAAACATATGATTGGATCTGTTCCCTGGTGTTGGTAAGCCTATAGAAAGCATCCGATGCTTTCTCAGCCAAGGCACGATATTGCACAGATGCAACCACATTTACGAAGACATTATCCTGAGAAGCCAATGACAGTAAAAAAATCTAACAATGGATCATCAGAACCCACTTAAGAGATAAACGTATAAAGAGTGAAATGAATTTTCAATATTTTTCTATATCATTGATACATTGCAAGCAGAATGGAAGTTGCCTGCAAATATGAATGTATTGATCAAAAAAATATAGTGAAAAGAGGGACGGATGGCAGAGAAAGGATAGCTTAGCGACGAATTACAGCCATGTATCCACCTCAACAACCAGTTGATGAAAACTTTTATTATTCCGTAAATTAATAGCAAGCACCTAAAATATCAATAAATTAATTCATCTTAAAGTTGAAAAATATTACAAATAAAATAATGGACACATAATCTAGTTGATATTGATAAGTCGAGATGTTTGTCAACTATGTAAAAATCCGTTTGAAGTTATGCAGACAATATTCTGAGATTTTAAATTCTACACCATATTATCAAATATGTCATGATTTCTGAGGCCATCATCTACGTTTCAAGCCAGATGCAAGTGGCATAATAACATGACATAAAAGACAAGGAGAAATGTTTATTTAAAAAAAAAAAAAAAAGACAAGGAGAAATAAAGCAGCTGAAACCTTTGTTTTTGTTTCACATCGAACATCAAGTTGCTGCACTCTTAGTGATAGCTTACCAGCTATCTGGAAACCAAAACACCAAGGCAAGCAGTGACATCCAGGCTGCAGCACGTCACTGTATTTTCCAAATTGCTCCTTGATGGCCACATTCGACTGGTCTACTTGAACACAACCTAAAGCTTGACCCATCCTTCAATGAATCTGAAAACGAATAGTACAATTCAAAATTTAAAAAATGGTACACAGTTGCATTAACTACCACCAAGCACCACCTTGTTGTAACTTTCTTAATTTCCATGATCAGTTTTGCAAAGACTTAATTGCTCTTGTTTATCAGGTAAAAAAAAAAAATTGCTTCTGTCCATATCAAGAACATTATAAAAAAAAATCAGCAAGACATACCCTGGAAACAAAATTGATGAAAGAAAAACTACTGAAATCGTAAATGTCTTTTCAAATAAATGAAAGAAAAATTTGATGAACAACAATATCTGATGAAATAGATGTGTCAACTGAATTGAATGGCAATAGTTAACTGATAACAGCAGAATGAAAGTTATCTTTCCTCAACAGTAGTTCTAAATTAAATTTCGGTAAATAAAACTGGGCGTGCAATCAGACAAAATATGTCATATTACGAGTTACGACTCACAAGATAGAAAAAGCAAGCGAAATAGATTCTCACTCTCCACGCAAGCGGCAAGTCTAATTCAAACCAAATTCCTTTATTTTATTTTATGCTTTTTTTAAAATCATTAGAAGCCACATATAAAGCTCAGACTTTTCAAAGTTTAAAAAGACTCGGAACAAGACAAAGATGATACTCTGATTTTCTATCCTTCGAAAAAAGGGATGAAATGCTCTAAGCAACAGATTTAAGAGAAAAAAGATATAACCAAAGCAAAATTGAAGGGGAAAAACAGTAAACCAATTCTCTCGCCAAGGAAAAAAAAAAAATCTGATGCAATTTACCTCTGACCCTCTGTACTAAAATCACACAGCGAAAAGCAAGCACAAGACAACCCTAAAACTGAGTTTGGCCGTAAAAAAAAAACTTTGAAGCATTAAGTCTCAGGAAAACCTTTGGATCAACAAAAACCGAAAAGCAAATTCGCGCTTTCTAAGCGTATGTAATCTCGAAGAGTAAAGAGAGATGAAACGAATACAAACATGAAAAATATAGATATAATTCAAGAACACCAGGCAAAGTATATGTACGGAAAGTAAAACGCGAGCAATGAAAAAGGAGGTCATCCTTAATTTTCCAAGAAACCAAACAAAAAGAGTAAAAGGAGACTCGCAAGGGAAGAAAAACCTTTGGTGAGTTGTGAGAAGCGAAGGAACCAGACTCAATTGCAGAAATGCAATTGCAGCTTTTTATAATTGGGAAATTAAATATAAAACCACGTTAACTTCTCCTAAAATTTGACCTCAGACAGTGTTGCTCTCTTTTTTCTACAAACATGACATCTTAATGATTAGGAATTCTGAAAAATAAACATCTGAATTAGGTATCTTCCCAACTTCACGACACTTTGTAATTGTATGCACAATTTCAGAATTCATCATAATCTTAGGTGAACAGTTTCATGATCTATTTTATCTTTTATATAAATAATTTCGCAATTTATCTTATATAAAATAATTTCATAATTCACTTTCCTATACATGGAATAATGAATAATTTTAAAATCACATTATATTGTTAATATATTAAAATTTAATTATTTTACTTTGATTGGATGAAAATATATTAAAATATATGAAACTAAATACCCAAATCTTAACACTCTTTTCATAATATATATTTATTTACTTAAACAATTTTAAAAAACACTTATTATTGTTTCATGGAAAATTTTGGCAACATAGTAAATATTTTTATATATTAACTATATTTTCAATTTATGTATAAAAACCTTAAAATTCCTATATTTTAAAATAGATAGTAAGTGGATAGGTATTTTAAAAAATTTTACCCATAACTCAACCCTTCCCATGGAAAAAAAGGGTGACACATACCCACACATATCCATAAACATGTCAACACTGTTCTTTTTTTCTCCTATTTCTTTCTCATTAACTTCTATTTTATATTCACTTGAATAGAATATTTTTTTAATATTTTCAAAGATAAAATATTATGTTTCTAAAAAGTTCAAAATTATAATTCAAAAAATATAGCATCTGAATTTTCTAGTTTCATAGTGCCCAATTTTTTTAAAAAAATTTTTATTTAATGTAGAAAGAAATAATCGATTTGGTGGGAATATTTCCTTATTCATGTGCAGGAGAGTTAGCCGAATGTAGAGGAGATGCATATGTTTATTTTGACGCTATTTTCCTTAGTTGGTTTTTCTTAGTTTGTGGTTCAGTTTCTTTTGTTTTCTTTCTTTCTTTTTGTTTTTTTTTTTTGGGGGGGGGGGGACACGATCGTCCTTTGGTTCCATCGAGTCAAGTTTCATTCATCTTGTTCTTTATTTTTTAAAAAACAAAATAAAAAATTAGTCTCGACTCTCGAGACAGCTTGGCATGAAAGTTTAGCCCTACACGTTAGCTCAGTGATCCGATGAACTGTGATTAATAAATAAATGTTTTCATTTTGGACTCTCCGCCTGCTCTCGCCGTCGTCTTAGCTGCTCATCCACTTTTATAATGATCCGTTTGCATTACGTTCGCACTATGCATATATCGCCGTACTCTTTCTCTTTCCCCACCCTCTTTTTTTTTTTTTTTTTAACTTTTAAAATATACTTTTTTTAATTCTATTTATAAACCACTTTTATTATATATCATTAATATTAAAAAAAGAAATAAATTTTTTTAACATTGTTAAAAAATTCAACAAATTTTTAATTTTATTTTTATTAAATATATATATTTTAAAAATAAAATATTTTAATATTTAATAACTTTTTAAATATTTGATAAGAGAAAAAAATAAAGAAATATCCTAAACAAAAACAAATATTCTCTCAATATCAATAACTGAATAAGGATGGTTCCACGAAGTTGCAGCATTGTAAGATATTTCTGAGGAGCATTGAATCAAACAGTGACGTGTTAAGTTGTCGTGCCCTCTATTCTTTTTTTAAAAAAAAAAAAATTCAAAGTAGTTTATATTTTATAGCCGGCCGGACGCGGAGTCCATACCTGGGAAATCTTATCCACGTCTGTGTTGTAAAACACCCATCACAACTAGTCATGCTTTTTACTTTTCAAACCCAAAATAATAATGATGGGAAGATAAAAATTAATTAAAGGTGTTAAAAATTTGCAAAAATTAAAAGATGGAATATATTTTATTAAAATTTTTTATTAATTAGAAATATTTTATTTTAATTGTAGTAATATTTAAATTATAATTATTTTTTTATTTAATTTTAATATTTTAAAAACTTATTGCATTTAATTCTACAGTTAATATTAAAGCTTATAAATAGCACCTTTGTTTATTTGTTTTGTAAGCATATTTAATTAAATAAAAATTATTATTATCCTGCTTCTTCTTTAAGTTTTCTTTTCAATTGTTACTAAAGTTAAAGTTATCATTCTCTTTCTATTACCAAACCCCTTCTTAGTATCAAAAATGATCATATGAAAAGGTTTTGAAAGATAAGTTTATAACTTAAGATTTCTTAAGTTATTAAGTAAAATTCTTTGATCCTAAATTTTAGATCTCTTGCTATTTGTCTCTTTTTCTTATTCCTTTTTCCTATTATTTTTATTTGTTTTCACTTTCCTTCACCTTAATCCATTCTACCATATTTTCTTTTTTCATATTATTTTGTTTTTCACATTTTGTTTCCTTCCTTCCTTTATTTAATTATTATTCTATTTTTTCTTCCCTTCATTTACTCATTCGATTTTTCCTTTGATTTAATCCAAAAAAAAATTCATCTTATAAATAGTGTGACTATATACTTAGGTCAAAATCTATCATAGGCTAGTCAAAGTTTCTATCAGTTTCTCTAAGAGGTTTTCAGGCCTCTAAAAATCACTGTAAAGACTTCACTCAGGTTATTACTTATTTAACATGTTTGATCTCTGAAGAACTTTTGAGTTCTTAAAGGGTTAGACTTGTTAAATAGAATCTTCACCTTTTAGTTGAGAGCAACTTAAAATTTTTTTTCAAATAGGATATTATTAGAGCCTCCTAGTTAAAAAAAAAAAAGATCTCACATTTTATTACCTATAATCACAAAAAAAAAAATCACATTCAATTGTGATGTTATGGCCTCATTTAATTATCGATATGATTATATTGACCATCAGCAATATAATTATATTGATTGTCATTGATATAATTACCATTGTCAATATGATTATGTTGATCATTACTACTATGATTATGTCAATCATCATCAATATCACTATCAATATGATTTGGTTGATCAATCAGACTTGAATTTCATATGTTTGTGCCTTGAATTTGTAAGAGATATAATTGATGAACTCCAAAGCTCCATTCAATCCACATTAAAAGAAGGGCATTGTTATTAAATTGAGAAAAAGAAGTTATATCAAAAGAAAATAACTTCTAATCTTCTTGATAGCGTCTCAAAACTTGAATTTTGAAGGAAATAATATGTGTAACCAAGACCATGTACCTATATCAATGGTGCTTTTTGAGACTGTGGCATGTAATGATATAGAAATTAAAGAAGTCCGATCGAATTATATCAAAGCTTTTGCTCCTATCCTAGATATAAGCATTGTTGAGACTTAAGAGGCAACTCTTAATCAAGAAGAATAGAAATTATGGAAGTAAATTCTACACATGGTAGCTGAGAATTTTGAGATAATTAATGATGGTATCTAATTTCAACTAGCTCCTACTCTACCTAATTCATCTACTATGCCCTTCAATGCTAATGTTATCACAAGTATAGAAGCACATATTATTTATGAATTATATGGTCCCTTTCAATATTATTTTATTCGTTGGAAACGATCTTCATATCTATATGCTGTACTTCTACATGCTCAGATTATTTATTGTTCACTTGATGCCATTTATTGGTATCCAATTTGCTAGAAAGGGTTTTCAAACAGACTCAAAATCTCTCAATCCCATCGTATTTCTAGAGCATATCCATAATTTTACTCTCTAGAGGAGAGTTCTTCAAGTGGAGAAGAAATGATGGGAAGAAAAAGAAAAAAAAAAGTAATTAAAGATATTAAAAATTTGAGAAGATTGGAAGATCGAATATATTTTATTAGAGTATTTTATTAACTAGGATTGTTTTGTTTTAATTGTCATAATACTTGAATTATTATTATTATCTTTTCATTTAATTTTAAGATTTCAAGAATTTATCACATTTAATTTTAAGGTTAAGATTAAAGTTTATAAATAGTGCCTTAACTCATTTGTTTGATTCATACATTTAATTGAATAAAAATTATTGTTATCTTACTTTTCAGTTTTTTTTTCTTTCTCTTCTCTTTACCAATGTTTTTCTCCCATTTATATATTCTCTCCCCCGCTTCTACTTTCCCATTCTCCTCTAAAAATAATTGTCAAGTATATCCATTTTTGCAGTGCCGAAATTTGGAACCTCTCCATTTTCTTTATTCACCTTCTCAATCATAATTATTGGTATCATTGCATCAAGTAAATTTGTTTTAACAATAGATTTGAGAAATTGTTATGATTAGAGAAATGGAGTGAAAATTATGATAATTAAGAAATAGAGATGATTCGTGTCCCATGAAGATAGGGCATTTCAAGTGGAGCTAAAAGCTTGATTTTGGATTCCGGTTGAGCTAAAAACTTGATTTTGGAACTGTCGTCATTTTCTACAATTAACTAGACATTTATTTGAATATCAATATTAATATACAATAAAATTTATGATTAAGTCACTATCTCCTTTTGAAGTCCATACAATATAAAAAAAAAATTGTCATAGAAAATCATTAATAGCTTAATTTATTTTGTCATTTATAAATATTACAGTTATTATATGTAAATACCACATAGAATAGATGCCTAGATGTAAATTCTCTTAAGTATTCGGATTATCTTTAGAAGGACGAAAAAATCTTCGTGGTGGGACTGGGCTCGTAGTTTCAATATCTTGATAATGATGCGGAACAACAATTCTGATGTGGATTTCTCACTGAGATATTGCCTCAAATCAAAATGATATGAATCTTTTTTAAGGCTCGCACATAATAAATAATCTCCAGTGCATCATCTTTCGCCACTAAATCAATGGAAGGCACAAACTTTGTTTAAATATTTTTATAAACTATCTTTTACTTAATTTAATTCTTAACGTATTTTTAATTAAATTATTCAAAAATAAAATTATTATAATAATGTTCTCTTATCAAATTGGTAACAGCAATATTCATATTTGAGAGAGCACGTTGAAGTTATAATGTTACGAAAGGTTAATATAAGATTAAAATATAATTGTAAATTGTAATCTTCTACTCTTTCATTTTCAAATATAAGAGAAATTATCTTATATTTCTTTGCTTTTTATTAGAAATAATGATCTTTTAATCCATTGAGTTTAGCTTAATTATTGATTTGGTCTTTCAAATTTAATTTTTATTGATTTGGTCCCTTACATTTTCTTAAATTATCATATTAGTCCTTTAAGTTTTAAAAAAATTATTCTCAAATTGATTTAACATATAAAGTATTTTAATGACTTGACATATATATGTAATTGAATGAAAACAAATTAGCTCTCAAATTTATTTTTTTAATTTAATCCATCACATTATAAAAAGTATTTTGATGTCTTGACATATATATATTTTCTTCTTTTATTTTTAAAATTTTTTTGAGTGTATTTTTTCTATCTAAATAGTTATACATTTTTTCATTAATCTATATTACTACTATTAATATTTTGCTGTTCATGTCAATAAATTTGAACATTGTTACCTCCTATTTAAATAATAAGGACTAAATTAATAGCTAATGCAAATTCAAGGAACCATATTAATAAATATTAAACTTGAATGACTAAATTAATACCTGAAATAAATTTAAAGGATTAACAGTTTCATTATCTTTTTTTAATATAAGCAAACTTTAAATTTTAAGAAGTATTAATTACATTTTTCTTAAATCGTGCCTCATAGATGGATGGTATCATTAACTTAAAAGGAAAGAAAGCAAATATTAATTACATGGACATTTTAGTGAACATTTCAATTTTAGGCATCATTATTAAGATTAATTCATTTTTTTTTAAATTGTGTGGGCTAGTTAAAAATTCTCCTATATTAAAGAGGTATGGTCTTAAAAAAAATAAAAAAAATCAGCAGTTTGACTTTTCTCTGTGTGCGGCAAGCTCTGAGCCAACAGGATCATGGGAATATATCATACTGTATTCGTTTGGTTGATGGTATTATAACTTAATTAATCAAAGAGAAGTGTTATCACGAAGTTCTTCCCATCATGTCAAATGAAAAGAAGTTATATATGACAAGAAATCAAAAGTCATGGAAATTTTACATTGATTGGAAAATTCTATTTAAGGATTCATATGGAACAACCAATAATGATGATCTTAAAGAATTTTTTAAAAATTAAAACACATTGATTCTTCCAATAGCTTTCTTTACAAGAAAGCTAGAGCTTGAAAATCTCCCAATTTTCGAAGTTTCTGGGAAGGAACTCAATGAAAACATCCCCCCTACCCCGGCCATAATAAAAACCCGTTGAATCTTTAAGATTATTTATTAGGATAAAGGATGTACTCCTATAATTTTATTTATAAGTAATTTTTAACATGTTTTATTGGAATAAAAAAAATTTTAAAATTCATTAATTTTATATAAAAATTTAATAAGTTTTTAATTTTATCCCTTATTAAATATAATTACTTTAACAGCTTATTTTCTATCTCTAACATTTAATGAAAGATAAAAAAAATTGAAATAAAAATTTAATAAAATGAGTAGAAAAGTCAGTTTTTGATCCTTCTAGTTTTGGTCAACGGTGGTCAAGGTCCTTGAAATTTATTTTTGAAAGAATTAGCCCTTCAAGTTTGAAACCGTTAAAATATTAGTTTATATGATTATTAACATTGCTGATGTATATAAACGAAGTTAATTATGATTATGTGGCTTGATTAAGTAGCAAAAAGAATAATGAGTTGGAATTTTTTTTAATTAAATAAGTTCGCATTTTTAAAATAGAAAAATCAGGTTAAAAATAAGTTAAAAAAGGCAGATAAGAGATCAAAAAAGGTTGATAGGTGAAGAACCCATTGCATTGGCTAGGGCTCAAGAGGAAGTGATCGGCGAGTGAGAAGAAACACTGGAGAAGAGGCGGAAAATGGGGAAAATAACAACAAAAGGAATCCGCGCAAGAGCGAGCAGAGATTGACAAACTCGCAAATGGGCGAGGCTGGCATGCCACTAGAGGTTTTTGTGGGAGAAGCAGCAGAAGTCATGAATGGCTTATTAGGCATAGACTTCTTGGTAAGGGACTCTCGTCGCAGGGACTTCTCACGAGTGTTGAGGCTCACAAAACTGAGCAGCAATGGGCAATGCATGATGCTGTGAGTATAAACCCACTTTCAAATTCTTCTTCTAGCGGCTGAATTGAGGTGATTTCAGAGATGTTGGTTGGTCATATATTTGCTTTTGATTGTGCATAACTCACACTTACTTTGAAAGCTACCTACTTTAACTTTTAACTAATGTTGGTTTTGTGTTTCTTTCAAGTTTTACTAATGTTAATTCCTTGATGTAGTGAAGCTGGAGAAGACTATGGAATTGATAGATAGCTTGGAAAAGGATAATGCAAGACACAAGAAGATGATCGAAGTGCTGGCAATTATACATGATGACCAAAGTTGACTTTTAGGAATAATTCAAATATTCGATTTTTGGCTTCTAAAGTAGAATTAGTTGGCATTTTTTTAAGCAGAATATGATGTGTGGCATGGAGCCATTATGAATTTTATCATATTATTATACTGAATACGGCAATAAACCAATATTGTGATATTTGCTTTGAAATGGAAACGTTACTATATACTGATTTGTACATGAACGTGCTGTCAATTTAAATAGGGGCCACTACTCTTTATATTAGCATATAAACTCCACCCCATTGAGAAGCCCTTCGAAAGCTGGCATTAACCCCTACAAAACAAAATACACTAAAATAAGTTAAAACACACCAAATAGGAGAAAATATAATGACAAATTTACCTTTTGTTGATCAGATATGAAAACCATTTCTTCTCTTGCATGCTCCCAATGTCTTGAAGAAGTTTAGTTAGATACCACACGTCCAAGAATCTCTATTTTCCCCCTCAACCACCACAACAACTAATGGAAAATATTGTTCATTAGGATCTCTAGCAACAACCACAAGAATAATACCACCATAAGGACCCTTTACGAAGGATCCATCTAACCCAATTATTGGTCTACAAGCAGCTTTAAAGCCCCTCTTAACTGCATCTAATCATAATTATATCCCTTTAAACATTTGAGGTCCACCAAGAGATAATCTTTCAGTTTGCATTTGAAAGGTTGTTCCAGGGTTAGAAAAATCTAACTTCACTCATAATCCCACAACCTCCTATATTCTTCTTTAAAATCACCATCAACTATTGCCCTTGCTTTTTTTTCCCCCTTGCATTGCTTAACTTCCACACAAATATATCAGTCATATACTTCTCTCTTACATAGGAAATGATGTCACTTATCTTCATATTCATATTCATCCTCACAACTCCAACAATCTTCTCAGTAATCCTTTCATTATTATTTTTCAAGAACATCAAATCATAACCATGCAACAATGAATACTCTCTAATAGCATATTTAAATTGTTCAATTGAAGTGAATTCTATTCCAAGTTCATATTGAAAGTCTTTTGACATCTGAGCAAGGTCGCGTAGGGTAAGCTTATTTTTCTTTCCACCCTCATCTAGATCTGAAACATTATTATTGGAATCTACCTCGTCTGACTCATAATTGGATTGATTAGCCCTACTCTCATTATCAATTATCATCAATGATGATGGCATCAAATTGTCTTCCAACTGCTGAGTACTTGCAATGGTCTTATTAATCTGACTTAGTGCTATAAGTTCATTAACTTGATCTTGTTCAACATATTGATTTCATCTCCTTTCAGTGTTGCTGTCTATACTTTCATCACTGTCTGTGCTTGTGTTTGTATCCTCAACATTCTCCATATCTTTGAATATCTATATCTTCAAAAAATAAATATATAACTGATAGCATATAAAAGAAATTAGATAAATAAAGCATTAAGAGTTGTAAGTAACATCTTGATTCCATAAAGTGCATATTAATACAATTGTGAAAAATGATTAAATAAAGCATTTTTCTGTGAAAATTTTCAAAAAGCATCTGAGCTTTTAACGGAGTAAAATCGGTAACTAAGTTCACTTGATTCTTAAGCATAAGGAAGAAGCGTAGCCTAAAATCACTTAAATAGTTAAATATTTCAGCCATGAGACTACTACTTCACCCATAAAACTCTGATTGGCCCATCAATTGGAATAGGCAAGGAATAAAAATCATTTATGGTTTTTCAAATTCATCGAAAATAAAAAAGGAAAAAGGCAAGAAACATTGGCGCATTGTTTCAAAATGGTAGAGATTGAAAAACTTTACCGATTGAAGTTTTGCAGAGCTTCTCGTTAAGCGTTGTCTTCTCCAAGCCCTTTTGCAGAGTGTTCTCCAAGCCCTTGAAAAGTTTTGCAAGTTTTTTTTTTTTTTCCTACTTATGGTTGAATGATTTTTCTCCAGAAGATTAATAAATTGTTTTTTTCTTGTATTTTAATGACTAAAGTGACAACACGTTATTTGCTTCCACATAAGCATAGTTAACACCGTCAGCAGCCAAAGGACTAACGTTTTAACAGTTTCAAATTTTAGGGCCTAATTTCTTAAAAAATAAACTATAGGGACTTTGACTATTGTTGACCGAAACTATAAGGACCAAAACCATATTTTTCCCAAATTTCTGCATTGTAAATAAGACTAAAAGAGTAAGACATAAAGAACACTACTAATAAGGTTTACTTTATATATACATATTAAAGTTAAGAATTAAACTTCCAACCATTTAGTTAAATGATGAGAGACACTCATTCTTTTGAATGCATACTAGGTTATCACATTCTTATTTGCAATGATAATAAGTAAAAGTTAACGTGGTTACACAATTTGAGATTGTATTTACCAAAAGTGTGTTTACACATGGAGGACAAAAATAGTATTCTTGCACGCGGCGGACTAAAGTAGTATTATGTCCGTGGTAATGAAGTAATGCTACTCTGCAGGTGTTACATTGTTGAGATACCCATTTTCAAATCGAACTTAATGGAGTGGTCACAATACCTTTCACTTTCATCTCAAAATTGATTTTCTTCTCAATGAATAACTTTGAAAATAATGACAAAATTATTATATATGTTCAACTCCTCACATCCAATATGTTTGTATGACTCTATTGTTGGCCCAAAAACAAACGGACGCCTCTACTTTCACTTGCAATTTTTTTTAGCCCGTAGAACACAAGAGGTTATAATATCCAGTTCCATTAAATGAAAAGACATGGATGGAGCAATGTCGCTCCCTGATAAATTAGCAGGCTGTGGAGGTGTCTTAAGAGACCATACAGGATACTGGATAGCTGGGTTTTGCCACACTATAGGATTTTGCAGTGCTTATGAAGCTGAAGAGTGGGCTATGTTGAAGAGCTTGCGTTTGGTTTGGGATTTTGGATTCAGACTGCAAGAATCTTCTTGATCTAATTGATGGAACGAGATCTAATAATCACATGGGAAGGTTAGTTTTTGTTGAAATTCTCAGCATGCTTAAATGGAATTGGGAGATACGGATCCAATATGTGTCGAGGGATCAAAATCATGTGGCGGATAGACTAGCAAAAGAGGGACTCACTTATTTGTCTCTGTTTGAGGTTGCTCCTAGTTTCATTAGGAGCTTTGTTTCTGCTGATAGTTTGGGATTTAATCCCCTTTATGTGTAATTTCTGTCTAATACTTTGAACTTAGCTCTCTTTTTTACCAAAAAGAAAAAAGACACACGAGTCCAATACGCAAATACAGATATTGGTTCCTCGTGCAAAATTACAATCTTTTTGTTGGGCTGCTGAATTTAATAGTATTGGAATATTTGAACTTATCAGAGTCCATGAACGCCGTATGTCCCCTACAGCTCGGGTTTAGATTTTTCTAAAGCTTGTGTCCCGTAAATTTAGTTATAAAGTAAGTTTAGTAGTTCAATATCTCATTTTATTTTAAAACATTTTATAAATTTAATATTTTAGAGTAGGAAAAATATAATTATTGGTCTCCATAATTTATTGAATTTTATTTTTAATTCTTATAGTTATTTTCAATATTTTTAATCCTTATATATAAGAACAAAAATAAAAATTATAGGAATCAATAACTATAATTTTTCGTAATATAAAATATTAAAGTTATAAAATATTTTAAAATAAAATGAGATAGCGAACCACTAAACCATGCACAGGAAGCTATTACTTTATAACTAATAATTTATGGGATTTAGGGACTAAAAATATTGAAAACATTAAAATTATGGGAACTTAAGTAATAAGCGTTACTCCATTTTACTGAAACTATAGGATCTGAATCTTTGTTGGCATGCTAAGATTCCCAAAGTTAATGTTTGCTCAAATTCCAATAAGACTTTATCTCTCATTTAATGCAACTCTACTCACAGCCACCTTCTCTCAACAATTATTAGGAATATTAAAAATCTCACAATGAAGGACTAGAAAATCATTTTTTATCATGTTTGTAGAGAAGCTGATAGATGCATCAATTTTCTAGCCCACATGGCTTCAAGAAAAAATTTTGATATCAACTTATTTGACGGTCCTCTCATTGATTGTAGAAACCTTATAATTTCAAATATGACATGATCTTATCCTTTTTGCATGGTTTTTACCAAGGCCTTGTATTAAAAAAAAAAACTAAAAAATAACTACACAGACTAAAAACAAAATCTAATAAAACTATAAGAATTGATAATTATGTTTTCTTTTTAGATTATTCAAACTCAAGACTCCTCTGACCAAAGAAAAAAAAAAACTCAATGCTCTTGGTTTATCTCGCTATAAATGTTGCAGAAATGGAGCCCCAAGCAAAGTAATGCTGAAATGTGACATTGCTCAATAATGCTCTATCATTATACTGTTTGTACTTTTCGTCTGAGAACAAAGCAACACACCAAAAATAACATGGAGCCCTGGCCCAAGACAGCACATCCCCCATTAAAGTAAGATATTAATTACATTAATGCGTACTTAATGAGAAGTTCTTGATGAATTAGTATGTAAAAATCTATGAATAACCTGAACATGAGTTAACAACACCACTTAGTTTCTTCTTTACAAAAATACATTCTGAAAAGTAGGAGACTCGTGACCTGAGCATCAAGCTTCCCAAAAGAAATCTAAATCTGTATGTCTCCCTAGCAAATACTCCAGCATAACCCAATTATTCAAGATCATATTAAATATAAGACTTCGATGATTCCCCTCAAGTCTCAGAGACATTCCAATCTCAACCGTTGATGCTCAGCTGATGGTCTAATTTGAGGGAATTGAATGGAGCAGGCAGCAAAACCAGAAAGAGTGGACCATGATTCTCACCCGTTAGGTTTTGGTGACTTGGAATAATGATATGGAGAACCACGTGGACCGTTTGGACTCGACAAGATCCTTACAGGTTGACCTTTCCTTGATACAGATGTTAGCTGTGTTTTTGAACCATTTTTGGGATTTGGCATGGACATAGTGCGATCTACTCGTGTGAACTGGAAGTGCTGAGATGAAATGGCCATATCCTTAAGGTTTGGCAAAGGCTTAAGAACCTGAACAACTTCACTCATCACGGGTCTAGATTTTGGATCACGGCTAAGGCATTGAGCAGCAAGTTGGGCGGCTTTCTGTGAACCTTTAATCGAGAAGTGACCTTCAAGACGAGGATCGATTATTCGGTAGAACATCCTCCGGTCTCCAAGTGCTGGTCTTGCCCATTCCACCAGGTTGTGCTCCCCATTTGGTCTATTTTTATCAATTGCTCGTCGACCAGTAAGCATTTCAAGGAGCACTACCCCAAAACTATAAACATCACTTTTTGATGTCAAATGTCCTAAATCAGAAATGGCCGTATCAGGTCAGTATAGAGATGAAGGAAGCATTAGTATAAGAGCATCAATAAGTTGAAATTGCAAACTATTTCTTGGACTGACCATACAAAAACTGAGGGAGCTTTCTCAGTCTCATTTTTTATTTCAACACGTTCCTTTCCTCATATAAAGAATCAAGGTTGTTCTGAGAACAAGTTGCTCTAAATACTCCCTTCCCCGTTTTCATTTTTAAATAGATTAAGGTCTAATAATTAATGTATATCTGATTTTTCAACATTAACCTTATTTTAAAAAATAAAAAGGATATTTTTAAGAAATACATCTCAATATTTTGAAGAAAAAAATTAATATTGGTCAAGACGGGTTGAGGCCTTTATTTTTTAAGAAAAAAATTATAGGAAGCCGTGAGTATCTTTTGGTTGCGTGTTCGTGTGTGTGTGTGAGAGAGAGAGAGAGAGAGAGCAATGCAATTTCTAGGACTGGCCAGAAGATAAAGAAAGGGAGCAATATTTTTCTTTCCTTTCAGAAAAATTTAGCTAAAACGAAGTTAAAATTGAAAAAGGCTAGAAATTCAGGGACATTGATTAAAGTCTCAAGACTAGATGGATATTTCACTCTTAATTTATTCAAAGAAACAGCTCCTTAGGAGTGTAAAGTGAGTATACTTGAATTATTAAGTACTAGAGTATGACCTGTAGGGTATAGATAACAAAAATGGTGAACCTCACCACCATGTTTCAAATTCTCACTGCTCCAAGCTAAGTTGTCCAGCGTCTAAATCACATAGTATATCTAAAGTTCAAGAAACCCCTAATCAACACTCAGATGGAAAAAACGATGGGAACTCACCAGTCATCACATACTCAGGAGCTGCATAACCATATGTTCCCATAACTCTTGTTGATACATGGGTCTTTCCAACCTCAGGACCATCTTTGGCAAGTCCAAAATCAGAAAGCTTGGCATTATATTCCTAACAACATTTGAAAAAAAATTAAGAGTATGAATTGGAAAACTAGGAATAATTAAAAACCCCCTTGATTAGTTCAGCACATACAGCATCTAATAGGATATTAGATGTCTTGAAATCTCGATATATTACAGGCCTCCGAGCTTCTTCATGAAGAAAGGCAAGACCTTTTGCAGCTCCAAGTGCAATTTTCATTCTGATAGACCAAGGAAGAGGCAAGGGCCCTTCTGCATAAATCATGGTTGTTACCAGAAAACAATAAAGAGCTGTATGTAATCTCTAAAAGCATGCATTAAGCAGGAAGATCAGTGACATTGAAGAACAATTTTTTTCTGGTCATTGCTATTTCATAAGCCCAAAAGTTGTATATAATACATATGATTTGATTCCCAAAAAAAAAAAAAACAGCGTGCAAATAATGGTTGTTCATTAAACTAACGTGCATTTTTTTTTTTTTTTGAATATAAACTGGATACCATTACTCATAAAGGAGTACACATCAAGTCTCAAAGAAAGCCTTTATCTTGCCATCACCCACCACCTTTCTAACTAATGTGCATTTTATAAATTAAATTATGAAGGCATACCTAAGTTAAACCCTTTCACGTTTGATTTTGTTGTAGTCATAGTTATTATTTGCTTGACCCAATCATTAACTCTTATTGGATAGATTATATAAGAGAAGTTAAGCTATATCACACAAGGATCATATTTTAGTTTTATACACCTCGTCTGTCATTGAGCAGTCCTAGAAGCCACTTTGGTTTAATAGTAACTCAATCAAATTCTGTCCTTGATAGGTCAATGCAGCACACATTAATTCGTCACCAAAGACACAACATTCCAGGAAATTAGCAGCAGCAGTAACAAGATATCTATTGTTCAACCAAACTTTAATTTGATTATAGCTGAACTGAGTAGTGTTTTATTTGATTTTTGTCTCAAAATCATATAAATTTTGCAGCAATTACATGGCATTGCCCAGAGATAAACAAATAGCACAGTAAACATGCAAGAAAAATTGAATGAGTTAGTAGTGTACTTCTAAAGAGATGGTTCTCTAAACTTCCTCGGGGCATAAACTCATAAACCAATAATCTTTGGTCATCTTCAATACAGAAACCAATCAATTTAACCAGATTAGTGTGGACAAGATCACCGAGGTAGTTCAGCTCAGCCTGAAAAAAGAAACTGTAAATGTTAACAAAGCAAATAATTATATAAGTGAAGAGTTTGAAGTCTTAGCAAACCATGGAAGGATGAGAATTGAGAAAGGATATATATAAAATTCTTACAAGCCACTCTTTGTGACCCTGAAGTCCATCATGGTTGAGGGTCTTCACTGCAACTGTAAGCCCAGTACCTGGTTTGACAGGTGCAGTTCCATTCTCTTCAATCCAACCCTTGAAGACACAACCAAACCCTCCTTCACCAAGAAGACTCTCTGGTCTGAAATTCCTAGTTGCCAATTTAAGTTCATTGAATGTGAATTTTCTCAAACGAGAAGAAACCTTCAACTCCTCACTGAATATTGGAGTTGAGGGTATGCTTCCCGCATTACTAGTAGTAGTAGTGGATGACTCTGGAGGAGCAACTGTTCGATCTTTGGTATTTTCATTTGTACATCTGTTTTCCACTGGTAACACAAAGATCACAAACTTAAATTGAATAATCAGCCAGGCTAATTAATCTATACTACTATTACATGAATGATGCTGGGGCGCCTGGCTTCATGCAACTTAATTGCAAGATTAGTTCACAGCTAGTATATTAACTAAATCAAAATACAATCCAGCTGAGCGATGCAAAAGATCAGAGCATCAAAAATTGACTGCGACTGTATTAACAACAAAATTTCAGGTCGAGCAAGCAGCACAAATTGTCATATGACACAATATTGACATCTCAACACCGTTACTAAGCCGTGTAATATAAAATGTTTTCATCAATAATGCAGAAAAAAGTATTCTTTAGAACGTTCAATTGCTCGGTATTTGGTTATAAAGAAGTCAGAGGCTCAACATTATCTAGGAATACAAAGATATCAAAGCAAAATTATACAACGTTTTATCCACGAATCATGAGAACTCATTCCGCTTCTTGAAACATAAATTGGCAGCTGAAACCAAAAAAACCAGGTAGATTTTTTTTTTAAAGACAAATTAATTTCTCTCTGCATCTAAAATTGACATAAAATAGAAAATGTTTCATGATATGTACAGAGCGAAATAGACAGAAAACTACCATTATGGGCGCTTGGACCACCACTTAAGGAGTTATCAATCTTTGATCTAGAAGGTATGCAGCTTCCGATGCAACTGAATTTAGCCCAACATCCACTCTGCTTCTCTGCGCCATCTTTCTTCTTCCTTCCATTCGACTTGCCCACGTCCAAACTACCAGCCTGAATTGCATTATTCCCAAATCCCATCTTGCAAAAACTCTTACAAAGGAGCTTCCATACCCAAAAATTCCAGAGATTGCCAAATAGGAAAGGACGCTTGAAGCCACCCTATCCCCAATAATTGAAGGCTTGGAGACCCCCAATTGAACAAAAAAAGAATGGAATCTCAATAACCAATGAAAGCAAGGATCAAGGATCAACACTTGCAGACCGGTAAGTGAGTGAAATGAATGACAGACTCAACACTGAAATTGAGTCCAAAGGTTCTCAGAGAGGAGGGGAAAGGGCGTTGAAGAGGAAAGCGGGAGACTGCTTGAGAAAGAGGGGAAGTTTTTCAACAGCGGGCCGGTCGGGCAGGCTAGAAGGAAGAAAGTAGGCATACGGGCAGGCTGGGCAGGAGAGAGAAAGGGACAGCCATTTCTTTTTCTTTTCGAGAAGGTCACTCGGTGGGTATTCGCATTGCTAATCACAAGATTTTTTCTGCTCAATTGTTTGACTTCTTTTTACTCCGATAATTTGTGTTCTATTAAAAAAATAATACTAAATATTTCCATAAGCATTTGCTTTTTTAATTTATATTTAGATTAGATCAAGTATCAAATAAAATAAGACTCTTTTAATATATATTTTTATTGTGTAGTATCTTCTTATTGAAAATAATTCTCTTCAAACTGTCATCATACATTAAATATAAATATCTCTTTTGCTTGGAATTTGAATTTTAATATTTGAACTAGCTAGCAAAATCAAGTTTGTTATTGCACACTAACAATTCACGCCACTGGTATATAAATTCCTTGACTTAACATGACAATCTATATGGCATATAGGGTTTTTGATAGTGGGAATATTAATCAGAATTATTATGATATTTGAATATACTAACTTATCCGTCATTTTTTCAGCTAGAAGATGAAGCTGCTTATTATTTTTCTTGGGCAAAGGGATAACTATTGTATCACTAAAAAAGGATGTTGTGTTTTCTGGCTGGTGTTCATGCACCACAATCTGTGCTATTCTCTTTTTTATTTTTGGTCAACAGCAATTTGGGACTCTGCACTATCATCTCATATTATGCCACGTTAAGCACATGATATTGTAAATTCTCTTTATTTATTTTTTTCCTCATACATGTACCCTTTTAAATATTTGGCATTTGTTGGTAGCCTAACTTTTAGAAGCTTAATAATTGTGATTGTACGCGCGAGCATACCATCAATCCATCGTTCAAATATTTTATCTACTTTTTTAAATTATCTGCACCTCTACAATTTCAGTTCGTACCTAAAGTATAACATCCAAAAGAAAGTGGACCGGTTATATATATTATTCAGAGGACTTGCCTGCTAAAATCCTCGCAAAGAATACAATATCTTTTTTAAAAAATATATATATATATATACTTATCTTCTTTTTAAGAAATGTTAAACTCAATTCAGAGACATTTTCACGCAACACGTATTACATATAAATTTTTTATTTGAAAATTTTTTTTATCGTCTACTCAACTGAGATTTTCTAAATTTCAATGTGTGAGCTTCCACTCCACCCTTGGTTAATTATATTAAACCAATTAAACTGACAAAAATGGAATTTGCTGCACGAACTGTGATTTGGACTGAAGGTTAAAAGAAAGAAAGGACAAAGAAGAAAAGATAAGTCCCATATTAGGACAAACCGGCCTTAAAAAAAAAAAAAAAAACATTACATTTTTGAACCCACTGAACTGATTGGAACTGCTAATACACAGCACACATGATCTGATGATGTAATATTCTCTCATGTCAGGCTAAACTGTAGTAGGAGCCCTGATATTATGTGCTCATTTGATCATGTTTCAAGCCATGTCAAGGATCCCAGTATCAAATATTTGCCAGGAAGTTCTCCAGCAGAAGGTGCCAAATACGTTATTTTCTTTCTGTACAGAACATACAGTTATATGTATAATAATACAGGCTTATACTATATGATCAGAAAACTGGAATATTTAAAAAAAAAAAAAAACAGTCCATACCTCTGAATGTCAACGTCTGTCACATAAATAAAGCCAGCAACATTGCTGCACCAAAGAGACGCAAAGCACTGAATAACGTGATCCTTAATAGGAAGGGGAAGGGGAAGGGGAGTATACATGAAACGTGTTTTAACATCTTTGGGGTTAATATTATGCTCTAAATTTCCATGTTCGACCAGGACATGAGATGAGTCTCGGACATGATTTTAAAAAATATAATTCTTTGAGAAAAATATTAATTGAGGTTTAAATTACAGTAATATGATATTCCAGAGAATTGTTACCTTGAAATTATCTCTTCAGGATCCTTGGCAAAAGAGACAGCAAGGACTGAGTGGAGCAAATCACCGTTTATATTCACAGCAACAATTCTGGTAGGGTCTGCAGCAGGTTCTGCACCAATTGGCAATGCTGAACGTGGGGCCTGCGGCCCACCACCAATTCGATAGACAAACAAGTCGCTAAAATTTGCAATATTGGAGTGAGGAGAGAGATCATTTGTGAGGCCATAAAAGTATTCCTAGATCAAAATCAGAAAATAACCATTTGCATTAGAGCCCACAAAGCTGCAAGAGAACTCTGTGTGTTAGGAATGAACACAACAAACAATATGATAGTATGGCTTACTAGTACATATGTGATTTTGCCATTCTTTTTATTGCTCATTTTCAATAAATTTGAAGGTCAAATGCAGGCTACTATATTAAAACAGCAAGGAATTAGGAACCAATAGTCCAGGAGTTGAAACTGAACTTTCTATGTCAATAAAGTATTCGTTGACATGAAATGTTACACAACACGGTGCATGCATTAACCATAACTTGATTGCAATCAGTACGCCCTTAAACACTGAGGGGCACAAGAGAAAATGGAGGGTAATTTGTCATGGTAAAAAAAAAAAAAAAATTAGTAACTCCAATCTGATACTAACATTTGTTTTTTTTTTTAATTAAAATCTTGAGCTGTTCAGACCCATGATATGCCAGTTAAACAACTATCAATCGAAGCATACACTTCTCATGAAGAAAGAAATATTAATGCCCTAAACTCACAAGACATTAATTATTCTATTATTGTTTAAATCATTTTTATATTATTTCAGCTTAAAAGCCTTGAATAAGTTCATTCCTCTTATCCTAGCATAAATCCTAAAAAGAATACTCCTCAGATTAAAAAGTGATAAACTCAGTAGTATGATGTCCTATAGACATCTGATTCCACCGGCTGACTTGTGTATTGTAAATTAAACAATTAAAGTGTGGAAAAAATAGGTTAAGATATATTGATATGTGCATAAGATAACAATAAGTGTACAAGCATGCTTACTCTTATCCTATAACTTCTGGCCCTCTGACGGTATTTTGCATTCCTATTTACAACTCCACCAGACTTTTGAAGTTTCACAACATCCACAGTGGGTTCACTCTTGGATACCTCTTTCTTTAGCATGCTCCAAAGTTTTTCCTAGACGCAGAATTCCAAGAGAATGACCCGGACATAAGAAAACAGAAGGAAATTAGAGAGCATAGATTGTAGGAATCAGTTATAACAAGATAAGCAACATGCTACATATTAAACAAAAGTAACTTATCCACCTGACCCAAAACCAACACAACATTGGCCTTGAAAGTGCGAATTGCATGCAAGAGCAACTGAAAGAAAATTGAAAATGTTGAGTGAACAACATGATTATTATTTTTTTTTCATTCAGAAGAAGTGCATTAAAAAGTTGAAAGTAGTCATCAAATCATCAATTATCAATAAGGTGAAGTTTGAAGGTTAATTACATCATAGCCTACTCCCTCAATCCATCCCATGGTATTTATCACCATGCCAGAAGCTCGAGACTCAGAATTTCCAGCAAATTGTCTATCCAGCATCCCAGCAAGCTCCTTCACAAGCACTTTATACAGTTCTACATTGTTACTGCAAGACCATATAATAGTTGGTACTTGCTTTCTCTATTGATTTAAATGAAGAGATAATTGTCGTGTTATAATGGAAAAATACAGACAATTCACTCGGTACCTTGGGGTTGTGTGCCCAAAAAAGTATACAAGAGGTATTTCAAGAGGAATTCCTTCCACCGGATCAATGGGCATTTCAATAGGAGTAGCAGCAATACATCCAGGAATTGTTATAGACCCTTGGCCAATATCCAAGTCAACAAAGGTAGGCTTCCAGCCTTGTTTAGCTGCCCAACTAAGAAGCATCCTTGACAAGGTACTTTTCCCAGAATCAGTAGGTCCTACAACAATCACCCTAGGTCCCTGAACAACCAAGTCTGTCAAATGTCATGCTAAAAGTTTTATATATAAGAGGAACGATGGGATCATGGAATTATAATCTTTAAAGCCAAAAATGCAATTGGGAATGATATTACTACCTATGAAGGGGGGGGGGATAAATTACTGGAAACATGAGTTTTAGTCTGTCAGCATAATTTCTATAGAAGAAACCACAAGTTTCAAGAATTCCTAGTGCATTGACAGTAATGACAGCCTATAGGTACCAATCCAGTATGGCACATTGAGATCCAATTTGATAATCGTAATCATGAGATATAATTACCTGAGAAGATTCAGAATCATTTGATGAAGCTTTAGCACGATTCCTTCGTCCATCAAGTACAGCATGTACATTGACATAACTAATCATTGGGGTCTGAAATCAAATGTTGTGACATCTCCACCAATCATTTTCAAATTGTTCTTTTTTTCTTCCATTTTACCAAAGTAACAATAAATTTTAAAGAATGAAAACAGATGACACTGCTTTACCTCATCTGCAACATAATCAGTTTCAGTAGTACCATCCATCTCAATTGTAGCTCCATACCAAGAAAATACCTGACACATGAACATAATATTTGCGTCAAAACTCACAAAATGATCTGCACTAGATGACTATATATTCCCTTTTTGTACCAACAAACCATTAACTGCGCTTGCCCCTTTAGTTTATTGAAACAAAAGTATAAAAAACACAAGATCAAGGTTTCAAGAAACAATTCTACAAATTTATACAGGACCCGGAATAAACTTGTAGATGCAATTTTGTTAAAATTAATTTATTAATAACAGGCAGCTTGAATGAAAATTCGCCAAAACACATGTTAAGCCCCAAGCCCTCAATGGCGTAATGCCATGTATAATATTACAGAATCAGTGACACCTCAATTCGCAGCTCAGGGAATCGTTCTGTTGCCTTCAAACAAAGATACTGCCAATCTTGAGGATCCAAAAGAGAAATTCATTACATAGAAACTCACAGCAAACTTAAGCCTGGGAGGAAAAGTGAGCCAGATTTCGGGTGGAAGCTCTGTCCCAAAAATCTCGGCATTGCCGTTCAGGAGTCGAAGCCGAAGAGGTATGTCGTTACCCACTTCGATTCTGAGCTCGCTTTCTTTGTCCAATTTTACTTGCTTGATTGTTGATGACGATGCAGAGGCACCCGCAGGAAGTGAGCCCATGGCTGCACCGCTATACGCCATTGATGTCAACAATGTTGCTGCACCCAAGAAACAAACGTGGAAAAGGTCACGGCTTGGATGGTAACTCCTTCTGGTTACCTTGGATGTTCGAAGAAGCACAAAAGGGCGCTATTTGAAGAAAGGGTTAAGAAGGCTTCGAAACACTGACGTAACTACAAAGCATTATAGAGGAGAAAAAATAGATTTTTACCTTCTTATAGTCTAGAGGAATTCTATAACGGACCAGGGAATTCAAGGTGACCTCAATCTTGAAGCTGCCAATTGAAGGTGCTTCCTGGAGAGCAGTAATGGAGAAGCGTCTGCTCCGCCTCCGATTACAAGCACGACGCTGTGTCTCAAGTCTTCCTGCGTTTTTACTTTATTGGACCACTCTGCGGTCTTTGGCCTTTTCGTTTTTTTTTTTTTTTTTTGTGGAAGGAATGAAATTTTGTGGCACTTTTTTTAATATTTTTGACAAAATTTTCAAAATAAGTTTGTCAAAGAAGACTCATGTAATTTGTTTCTCATTTTTTTCTAGAAATTCATATAATTTTTTTTTGGCCAGAGAAATTCATATAAATTACACAAGTTAAGAGAAGGTTGGTATGATTTGACAAAATTTAAGTGACATTTGTATTTTTTTTTCAAAAGGTTTGCATAAAATTAAAAAGTGAAGGAGAAAAATACATTATGAAGTATATAATTAGATAGAATTGAAAAAAGGGGCCATTTTTATATTTCCGATAAAAAAATATTTACAAACACATTTATGATATAAAAAAACCTAATGGGTTAAAGTCATATTAATTTGATCATAAAGGGGTGAAAGTCCGAGACATCCAGTGGAAGGGGATGCGACGGCGGAAAAAGAGAAGGGAAAATCATGCTACAGGATTTGGGAAGCAATGTTTTTGCACAAAAAGTTCAAAGGTTTCTGATTTTACACTGAAATAAAATGTAAATAAATTTAATTATGAAATAACAAGGATATTTTTATTTTAAAAATCCACCCAACTTTTGCCGGAGCAGTTTGGCCACCCAAAACATTAATAACCAGCAAGCTACCAGTGTTGTTTAATTAAAACATGTAAGAACACATGCAAACAATATTATATCTGTAAACTTTAGCCAGTCAATTATAAGGGGGATGCACTATTGAATAAGTCATCACTCAAAAAAAAAAAAACAAAATATTGTTTCATTTTAACAAGCATCAATTTGGTGATTAACAAGTTCACAAAGTATCCATTTTGCTAAAAATAAACAAAATTTATAGTATGATAAATAAGACATCGTTCAGAAAGTATAAGTTCTCGTTTTATTTTAACAAATATCAATATTGTAATTAATAAAGTCTACAAATATTCATTTAGCTCGAAAGAAATAAGTATTATGATCTGGTATAAAAGCTATTATTTGATAAAAATTAGTTTTCATTCTATTTTAACAAACATCAATTAGATAATTAACAAATTTACAAAATATCTATTTTGCTTGAGAGAAACAAATGGTATGAATCAGTGAACAAGATATCATTTGGAAAAAAACAAAACAAGTCCTCTTTTCACTCTAACAAGCATTAATTCTTTGATTAACAAGTCAGCAAAATATCTATTTTGCTTAATAAAAACAAGTGTTTGTAATATAGTGAAAAAGTCATTATTTAGGGGAAAAATCCTCTTTCTATATTAATAAGTATCAATTTCCTAATTAATAAGTCCACAAAATATCTTCTTCTTTTTTTTACTTTAAAGAAAAAAGTATTATGATCTAGTAAATAAATCATTATTTGAAAAAAGGCAAGTCCACTTTTCATTTTTACAAACATCAATTTTTTAATTAATAAGTTAACAAAATATCCTTCTTACTTGAAAGAAACAAGTGTTATAATATGGTGAATAAATTATTGTTTGAGAGAATACAAGCCTTCATTTTATTTTAACATATAACAATTTCATAAATTTAAAATGTGATATTTGAAATGTAAAATTTTAAATTTATAATTTAAATCCAACAATTCAAACACTATCTCAAAGTATTTTAATAAATGCATGTGAAAATTTATTTGCAATTAAGAACTAAAAATTACAATGTAGTTTAAGAATTTAAAGAAAAATCGTGTCTCTGTGTGCATTGTGTGAGAGAGAGAGAGAGAGAGAGAGAGAGAGAGAGAGAGAGAGAGAGAGAGAGAGAGAGAGAGAGAGATTTTGTGTAATTTTCAACCAACCTGCTTTTTATTTTGTTTTTTGAAGAAAGAACCCAAAAGTAATAGAACTTGGGTTTGAATTTCGAAAACTCCCATGAGGGGTGGAAATTTGTTTCCCTCATATGGAAGACGGTTGAACTAAAGAAGTATCAAAACAAAAGCCAAGACTAATGAAATTTCTCTTGATGCTGCTGCAAAGACTACGTTAGTCCTTGGGTCTGCTGTTTTCGTTCCTTCCATCATCATGGAAAATACATTGCCAAGGTTAGTTAGCAGCAAATGGTACAATCGGGTCGCTGTGTTTTCTCTTGTACACAGCTTGTTCTTTTTTAGTTTTTTGAAAACATGTTTCGGTTATAAAACTTTTCAGTATTCAAAGATATTTTCATTGTTCTCAATAATGAGGCTTGGTAACAGATTGCTTCTTCCAAAACACGTTCCATTCGTTCAACCCGGCAACAATCCAGTCAATTTTTCAGGTGAAAAAAAAAAATTAAACATTTCATCTTCTGAAACCAATTGTTCTAAAATATTAGACGTTTTTCAACTATAATTTTACAATTACTAAAAACTAAAACTGATTCTTGTCAGTTGTTACTTCAAAATAAGATCAAAAGTTCCAATGACCAAAGGTCATTCTATTATAAATATGCAAATCCTTTAAAAACATAATTTCATGTGCCAAATTAGTTCATGGTCAAATCATTTCATAAATCATACAAATTGTTAGATGGATTCATGTTTAAACATGATGTTATTCACAAACCTCTCGTATATTCCCTTCTATGGCTGTTTCAACTCTTTAGCTCAACACAATCAAACCTTGAGCGTTCATACTTGCTAGCCACCTCTCACAAGAGTAAATCCATCTAGTTCATTTTTCAACCAGGGATGAGTTTGAACAGACCCAATTTTTAACCCCAAAAAATCTTTCTCTTATTCCATATTCCTTCAATCTATATGTTTCTAAACCTCAAACACCCTTAATGATCATTTCTAACCCAATTGTTTTCTCCCAACATCTCATAATTTCGATTTAAACTTAGTAAATGCTAGAAAAGTAAAATTAGAACGTTATAACGTACTTACTTCTTTCCAAGAAAAAATTGATAAAGTCATGAGAAAAATTTGTCCCTCTTAATTTTATGAATTTAGCGTGATAGAATATAAATACAAACAATAAATTTAAAATTCATGATCAAGGCGGAAAAAAAATTCTGAATCAAGATTTTTTCTTTTAAAAAAAATGAGAATCATGTTAAAATTTTCGCAACACAATTAAATATTACTTTATTATGTTAAGTTGTTTACAAACCTTGTGCGTTTAATTTTAGGGAGGGAGCAAGAATCTTGAACTAATCCTGCACCAAGTTACATGGCAGCTGGGTAAATTAACATTGGACCTTTTTTTTTTTTTGGAGAATTATTTTGAGATCCCTCATTTAAATTTTATAAATTATTAGTAGAGCTCATAGAATTTAAATGTATTATGTGGCGGTGAATAATTCTAAAACTGATAATTCAAGTAGGTCAAATTTATTCAAACTGGACTTATATGAGTTAGACTTAAAATACCCTAACATATAAAACAAAACTCATATAACCAAGTTTGATTCTAACCTTACAAGCTTTCGAACTAGTCTGAATACCTAAATTGTTAAGTATTATTTTATTTTATTTTTATGTAATTTTAATTTTTATTTTAAAAAACATTATTTCAATTTTTATTTTATTTTTGTATTATTTATAAATAATAAAAGATAATTCAGGATTTTATTCAAATTTAGGTTGGGTGTGAAGTTTTTTGAATGCCTCAAATGAGTTGAAAATAAAAAAAAAATAAAACTTTGAATCTCCCCATCAAACCCAAATTACTTCAGGCCCAAAAAAAAAAATTGCAGTTTCTCCGATGTTTCCAGGAAAGATACTAGAAGCCACGTCGCAGTTTCAAGCAAAGGTCCAAAATGTTCTACTTAAAGCTTAGGAGCCCCTCTCCTCCCTCATTCTCAATAGAATCTCCAGCTCGCTTTTATCTCTTCACTTGCTTTCAGAGCAAACAATGGAAATCCATCAAAGGGCTTCATCACAGCCTCATGCCGCCGTCAATATCAATCTGCAAATTCGTCTTCACCATATCCTCCCCTGCTTCGGTCTCCTCAGCTTGGTTATGAGCAGCGGCGCGCGAATTTACAGATCATTCTCCAACGACGAAATTTCAACCCTATCATTCGCCACCTTCCTCTGCTTTTTGGCCTTCTTCTTGTACTATTGCTTCGAATTGATTCAGCAGATACCTCCGTGGAAGATTTCTCCAAAGAAGCATAAGCTCCAAGTTGGAATCTGGTTGTTGCTGAGTGCCCTAATGGTTGGATTTTGCCTTAAGTTTTCAAAATTGACAAGATCATCTGCGTCTCTTTCCTTCTTAGGGGTTGTAACTAGTGGGAACATGCTCGTTCTCCATCTCTACTCCGCGTGGGGAGATAACAAGTTAAGAATTCGATCGTTGTCATATAGCAGGACTGCAAGTCTTAGGGTTAATGAGAGAACCAGTGAGATGGAAACAAGAGAATCAGGAATGGTGTAGAGAAGAGTGTAACAGGTGTTTGTTAAAATGAGTGAGATTGAGAGCGAGGGCTTCTTGTTCCATTATATATTTTATTTACTGTGTCCTTTTTCCATGCCTATGTTGAATTCTTGATGATCCAGGAAACCCCAACCCCCACCCCCCCCCAAAAAAAACCCCCAAAAACAAAAAAAGCCGGGGGGCCCTAAAAAAAGGAAAATTCCGACACACCCGCAAAAACTCTTATTTTCTTGTGAATCAAAGGGGCAACAACCCTGCAACTGGTTAGACACTGCAATTCCACCCTATCATCATTCATCATTGACCACTTATCTTGTTAGAGATGGAATAATTCTAGTACAAGGGGTTTATTTTCTCGTCTATAAACTTGAATTAAATTAAAAAAGCAAAAAGGCAGGAGGGATGAAGAGTTTTGGCAGAATAGAAGCCGGACTTGGACCTAGATCCTCCTCCTCCTTTCATGCAACTAAGTACCCATTTCTTCTTTATAACTTAATGGATGCCTTTTATGGGTGAGTGGAATGATTTGTAGGAATGAAGGTGGGGAATTTTTTAAGGCTTAAAGGCTCTCTGTTGCAAT